AAAACCGGCGTTGCCTTTATTACCCACAAAAGACTGACTTGTTTGTAGAGTCCCAAGACCCAGCCTGGAACCTCGGTCTGGAAAGGGTCTCGTAGGACCCCTTTGCAGGACCTGAGCAGAGGGCAATGGAGGACAGGGGCTCTTGGAGGGGTCTCAGCCATCCACAGGGTCGCCATGGGTCCAGATCCACTTGGAGGGCAGTGAACAACGGCGACGGCAAAAGGGACCTTGTAGGAAGGAAGCCTTCGACTTCACAGCTTGGAGACTCTCTGTAAGAAAGAAAGAAAGAAAGAAAGAAAGAAGCAGGCAGCATAGCTTTCCTAGACAAAAACTCATGCTACCAACTTCTTGGTAAACATCCCTTTGCATGTTGCTTGCCGGTGCATTTTCTGATGCTTAACATTGTTCATTAACAGAGTCATTTTTCATGGATTACTGTTTTCTTGCCTCGGCCACTGGTTTTGTTGTGTTTGGTTTTCCTATAGACAGACGCCTTTGAGATGTTTTCAGAATAGAAAGCAGTAAGTAGTAGAGAAGTGTTCTTAAATAAGCAAATAGCCAACCGGAGTCTCCATGTTCAAAAGGGAGCATGTGAAAGTAATCTGCAAGGGAAGCCTGTTGCTTACTCCTAGCATTGCTTTTCCAGCCTTTCAGGAATGCTAGGCTCTGCGTTGTTGGGAGCAGGATACTGGGCTTAAGTCTTAGAGCCATGGGGTTCAAAAGGATCCCGAAGGCCACTTAGTCTGACCCCGTACCATGCAGGAATACACAACTAAAGCGCTCCTGAAAGTTTCCCATCCAACCTCTGTTTAAAGACCTCTGAGGAAGAAGGAGACTTCACCACCCTCCAAGTCTGTCCATTCCACTGTTGAAAAGCTCTTGCGGTAAAACATGTCCTTCCTAATATTAGGTGGAATCTCTTTCCAGCTAATCTGAACCCATGTTCGTCTTTGTGGAGCAGCAGAACACAAGCTGGCTCCTTCTGTTCCAGATATGGAAAGATGGCTAAGTGAACCTGCGCTGATCCAAACCTGTCTCCTTTTTTCTTAAACCATTTCCAGAGAGGGAAGGTGTTGGCTCTTTGCAGGGTTCTCCACTGGGAATTGGAGGGTCTGGGCCTCTGGAAGCGATGGGAAGGGGGCAGGCAGGTCAGCATGAGGCTCATCCTCGGACAGTGGCTGGACTTGGACCGACAAGGCCTACACATCCATCTGTCCATCTGTGGCTCCTTTGGCCATAACGCAGCTCATCTGCGGCTGGCTGAACATGTGTTTAGTTCATTGGTATTTGACGCCGTAGTCATCATCATCATCATCATAATCATCATCGTCCTCCCTTAATTGCCAGAGGCAGCTCAAACTGTCATTTGCATCTTATTTAAATACCAATTGGATAGTTAGTGCAGAATGGCTGGGAGTTCAAGGAGCAGCTCGTGTTGGGCAAACAAGCCATAATCCTTTGCAAATACTCCTGTGAGCTGAGCAAACAGGAGGAAGGCAAATTGCCTTTGCAGGCAGCAGGCCTGGGAGGGAGCAAAAAAAACCCTGACACCCCCATCCGACCCCACCCCCCTGAAAAGAAAGAAGCAGGACTTTGCAGGGAGTGAGGGGCTGCCTGTGGGAAGGGGCTTCTTCCAGATTTCCTGGGGGCAGCAACTGAGGGCATGAGGAAAAAGAGAATGAAGGACAACGCAAAGCAGCACTTGGGCCTGGGTCTTCTCAGTGGAGGCAGGGAGCAAGGTGTGGGGTGAAGGGGATGGGAGAACAGGTGGCTTTGCAGCGGGAAAATGTGCAATTTGGGGAGGTCACTTTCTTCTGTGGGTCCTCTGCCCTGAGCCCTTCCAAAATAGGACAGGATAGAACTGCATAAACAAACAAGACTTTGCATTGCATCTGAGGAAGTATAGACTGAAGTCTAGGAAAGCTCCTCATGTTGCCAACTTCTTTCTTTTAGTTAGTTAGTCTCAAAGGTGCCACAAGATCTCTCTACAGACTAATACTTTGGATTGCAACTCCAGTGTGTCCAGTGGGCATGGTTTCTGGGAGTTCCAAAAAATTAACTTTTTCTGCCTCAAAAAAAAATGGTACCAGGGGAAGGCATTAAGAAGTAACCCACCCACCCACCTCCCATTTGGACTTTTTTGCTTCAAGGGGAGTCATGTCTACAAACTGCCATGGAAGCAAATCCCCCATTGAAGTCAACTGGTCTGGCTTCTGGGGAGTCCCAAAAGGGATTGGCCTGTCAGAATTGTGAGGGTGCTTTGTTTATATTGCTAAGGGTGCATTTTTAGTGTGTGTGTGTGGGGGGGAGGTAGAAGTGGGTTATAAGTTAGTATCAGTGAAAAGAAAACAGCTTTGCAAGGTAGGCCAGTGGTATGATCTCTGAATTGCACAGGTGAGCTGAGGTCTGGCAGGTAGGAGGGAGGGAGAGGTGTGGAAATGGCCACCATCACATTTACCACTGAAGCAAGACTTGGGGCTCAGTGTAAGGCAGAGTCTCTTCTCCACCTTTAGTCCCCTCCGGCCTGCCTTCCTCTCAGCCAAAGGCTTCCTGCTGAGGGGTGCGAGTGCGAATTGATCCACCTCTCCTGCTCCCCACCCCTTGGGGCACAGCACTTGGGCTGAGGATCCTCTGGCTTCCTTCCACCTCTTGGATTATCAGGTTTTTCTGGTTATTGCTGCCTGTGCAATTTCCCTTGCTCTCACCAATAAAAGAAATCCACCTTTGTCCTCCTTTCCCAGGTCTAAAGGCCAAAGTCCTACTAGTGTCTAGTGTTAAGGTGGCCCCTTGTGCCTTTT